ATTCTATTCTATTCTATTCTATTCTATTCTATTCTATTCTATTCTATCATACAGCTAGGTAAATATTTACTGAAAGGGTTAAGCTTACAACAAGAGAATTACAGTAAATATTTTCAAACAAGCAGCCTATTTATAGACAATATATAATTGCCAAATTTCATTTGTCCATTTTACTCATGTTCTTATGCTGTTTTTTTACCTCACCAGCTTTAGCCTTACCTAACCTTGCAAAATCAGTCAAAATAGTTTGGCTGAATTTCATTTGTGCAATTTGGAACCCTCTTGTGGTTAAATAATGGGGGCTGGGAAGATCATTCCTATTCATTATATTCATAATTCTTTTCCATGGGCATCTTTCATCCTTTCAGCTTACATGTGAGGTGATACTAAAGAAAAAAATAAAAAAAAGGGAAGGAAGATTGCATATTTTCTTAAATTCGTCACATGTTCCATTCCACGGAACTCAACAACTCTTTGCCATTCCAAAAGGCACATTTTGTTTGCTCTTATTTGCATACTAAGTCTTTATGATTAGTAATTTGGCTCTTATGCAACTTTATAGGTCTCTGTTTATTAAATTCAGAACATCGTTGTCTTCATGGATCATTGAGGTTCAAAGAACAGAAAGTGTAATAGTTGAGACAGAACAGAACAAATCCTACTTCAAATTACATTTCTGCCATGGAATTATCAAACTACTTCCAAGGTAATGAATCCTGTCACAATCCTGTCTCATATGAAAATTTTAAATCATCAAAAGAAAATAAAACATGCAAACATTTAAGATAATTAATTTTTCTAAATCCACAAAATGTGGATTTTGATATCATGAAATGGTTAGTAACTAGCCAATACTGACTGATCAGGAAAAAGTAAGTATGCCAGACCTGATTTGTCCTTAATGGAAGAATGCCAAGAAATTTCAGGACTATTGGGTATATATAATATATGTGCATGGTATATTATACTTTGAATTAGAAAGTTAAAAATATGTCAGAAAATGGCTATGGAAAACCACTTGGTTTTTAAAAATTATTGTTATTGTTTTGCCATGAACATTATGTAGATATATCTACGAAGCCATTAGGAATTAAATTTGACATAGAGGAGACATTGAATGCATTTTCCTATATGTAAATTGAACATACTCTGAACTCTATAATTAATGCTATCTTCAGCTAATGTTTCGACAAAAAAAGTCTTACTAGATTAAATAGATTCCAGATATTTTATTCTGAACTGCAGCGAACAACACAATAACAAGTCCATAGATAATGTTTATTTAACAAACTGGGCTATTAAAGCATCTTCTTACAATTCTCTTGGATGAGTGTTGACAAAAAAATGATTATTTGCTTTTGATGAAAGAACCAAGACTAACATTATTAGTAATGCATTTTTAAAAGATTAATAATAACTTTGTTAAGTATGCTGATCAAGGATGCTAACATACAGATGTTTACCCAGCTATATTTCTTTTATACCTCTCTGAAGCTAATAACAGATATATGCTATTATCTCAGAGCAATGATTTGACTGGTAGAATTCTTTATCTATTGGTGATGTATTCTTCAAAAAGCAGATACTGAACTGCAGTTGTCCACTAGAGCCAAATTATTCTTTTGTCCCTTAAAACTAAAGCAGGAGGTCAAGAAAGAAGTGGAGATCAGTATAGAAAAAAAAGTGATCATAGTCCTAATAATCCATAGTCCTTATTCTAAAGTACTATTTTACATTGGAAGGAAGATAATATGTTAAGTTCAAACTAAGTAGCAATAAACTGTAACATTGGCTGTTTTTGAAAAAAAGTTTTAAAAAATGCTTGGATGGTAGATTACTGGGGAGATCCCAACAATGTAAGCTTTACTGGGAACCTAGTATCACCCCAGGATGACATTTTTATAATGCTAAATTCTGAGTGTTCATTTATGCGATTATTTTATAAAATTAATTTTGGTCACCTTTCATATTTACAGCATGAGTGTACTTTTTGAATGCACAACAGCTCTCTGCAGTTTAATATCCTTCCCATTGCAAGACTAGAAAGTCCACTATTTTCAACCATTAGAGCTATTCAACATGCCAACCTATTCTCTCTCTATGATTTGTACTACCCTTTCAGGATGTATGACAGAATATTTTTTATTCTTCCACCCTAAATGTTGCCTTACTAAATTAGAAGCAAATGATAAGCAATCTTCTTATCTACATAGTTTTAATTTTTTATAAATATTTTATATTTAATTAGAAATAATTTAAGAGTAATATTGCACATCAATGGGAATAAATCAGTCTGTGAATTAGCCTTAGGTGAAACTGTCATGGGCCAGAAACTGACGCCATCTGCTTATCTGTTCCTTGTGATCTTTGATGGCAAATTTAGTCAATATGACTAATCAAAGCACTGCCTTCATTGTAACAACTTACATTTCTCTGAATTATTTCAACACAGTTGCATTGTGACTAGTTATATATCCATGTGAGATTATAGCAATAGTAATAGGTTACATAGAGTGCTTTACAGCCCTCTCTAAGTGGTTTACAACATTCTAACCACTGTACCATGGTGGCTCTTATTAAGATACTTACAATAATCTGTGATCATTTGTCTGAGATCATAAGAAAATACAAACAAGTAGTAAAAAGGAAAACAGCAGCCTGAAAAACAGTAAAATAAACGCGCTTGAGAAATAAATGTGTTTGGGTAGCTGTAATCACTGTTTTTGTCAGAGGACATTTTGATTCTTACATTGTCATAAATGTTTTACATGCATTCTGACAAATCAAAATGAATATGTGGTCCTCAAATCTAAGCACATTGCCTCAGAATTAAGTTACAGAAGTAAATACATCATGATAACATAGAACAGACAATTTTACCTCTTTTTCCTTTTAAAAAGCACTGCATATATTATGTTTTAATTTCTTCCTTATCTCTCCTTTTCAGTGAGATTATTTTGTTTGCCTTCCTAGGTTAACATTTTTTCATACAATAATTAAAATATCATATTTCACAGTGGGTGGTTGTGGAGAGGGGTTGTTTTTGGTGTATAGTTTTGTAGCTCAACCATGGTTGTACCCAGATATGCACATATAATTAGACATCCTGCTCATTTATCTGCCTGGGACTGCTAAAATTTACTGTTTCTACATTGGAATAGTTTTATAAGATAGAACTACAAGAGCAAAGGCAGATGCATTTTCTATTTCATAAGAAGCTAGGTGTGGATAATTGAGATATGAAATTATTTATTTATTCAATTTTAGCACACAGGCCATTCTAGAGTAACTATAGAGTATGGCATTATTGGAAGATAGTATAAACTATTTCTGGAAAATCAGATTAAAATTTATAATGCAAACATTGATAGGATTTTGGTGGCATTGGGAGGCAGGTTTGTCTGGGGAGATAAAAGAACAGCAAAGAGAAACACCCTTGAAGAGACTATTACAACACTGGATGTTCTCTCAAAAGGTGAGCAAAACATTGAACCTGATGATCTCTCCCATGAGAATTTGCAAAGCAGAAGTAAACACATGTTTCTATTTCAGTTCCTATTAATAATACCTTTCAACTTGATAAACTGACATGGATTCATTTACAAATTAATTTATGACAAAAAGTTGAACATGTAAATAATATCCACATAAATAAATTGAAAAATTCGATACATTTTAAAATACCAACAAGAGTTGGTGTCGGCTTCCAGCTGGGCACTGCATTGATACGGAGCTGTGGAGCGGATTGCCGCTCTGAAAGGCTCCAATTTTCACTGTTTGGTGGCTTCCAGGAGCGTGTTGGACCTCGGAGGGGTAGACAGATGAAAGGGGAAGACCTGGAGATCTCGGGGAGGTGCCGCAATCCCGGAGATTACAAGAGAATCCCCCGAAAACCAGCAGCAGAAGAGGGAGATCGTACAGATTGGAACCATAGATATGGCAGCCCAGCAGCTTAAAGAAGAAGGAAGGAAGCAAAGAGTGGAAAACAGCAAATTGAGTAGTGGAAAGGTGAACTTAAAGAAGATTTCCAGAATACTGATTTATACTACAAAGGGAAATTGAAAATTGAAACTCCAAACCGAACAGTGCAGCGAAGCGGCAGAAATATCTGAAGGAGTACCAACTAAAGAAACGGCAGTAATTTGTGCTGATTAATGGAGCACTGAAAACGGAGGAGCTAAAGGGTGAGACAACAATGTTTACTTTTACTTTGGGAGCTGAAAACTATATTTTTTGGCGATTGATGTTTGAGAATTGTGGGAAGAAAGAGAAAGTGACAGTGACGTGTCCAAGTGAGACAGAGAGATCGGAAGAACGGCTGAGAGTAAAAACTTGAAAAGAGAACAATTGACACTTTAAAAGATTTAAGGAAAGGATTGAGGAAAGAAACCTTATAATTGCAATATTTGTCTGATAACTGTGATAAAGAAAAAAGGAAGAAATAAGATAACTAATATTTATAAGTGGAACTAGGACTGTGTGGAGAAAAAGAATAAAGGAGCAAGAAGAAGAAGAAGCCAAAATAGAAAGGAGAAATGAAATGGTGGAAGTGACTATGCAAATTTAAAGAGGACATTTTGAACTCGAACTAAGAACTATAATAAGGTATTTATCAAAGAAGAAGAAGGAGGAGGAGGAGAAGGAGAAGGAGAAGGAAAAGATTCATGGACATCATTCAACTGGTCAATCATAGATGTAACTAAATAATATTGGTAAAACATAATCTTAATAGATATATATGTGTTAGAATATTGAGTTAAGAATACTGGTTAATAATTTTTGAATAACTGGACAAGTGAAAGTGTGTTGTATAAATATAGAACTCAGACCTTCAAATAATAATCATATAGTAAGAAAGTGAGGTATTTTTATTCTGAGGTAAGCATATAACTAAGAACTCCAAAGAAATAGATTAATTGATATTTATATATAGATAAGAATTTACTTACTTTAATTAATTGGCTGCTTTAAATTAATTAGTTAAGCATATAAGACTGTTGATTTTGTGAGTAAATATATTTGTATTTGATTAATATTGAATTCTCTTAAGTATTGTAATAGTTGAATAAGTTCAATAAGAAAAAATAGAAATAAGAGCTGTGATTGTGATTTTCCATAACAGAATTTTGGTAATTAATAATATAATAATATATGTATTAATATTACTATTGAACTGAAAAGGAGAGGAAAATAGTGCTCTACTGGGGATAGTTGTTGGTAGATTGGAAAGAGCAGCTACAGATAGTTAAAATGGTGACAATATCAATTACAAATGTAAAATTGGGAAAGAAAACTACAACAATTATGTCTTCACCTACAGGGGAAAAAATCTATAGATGAAATTCTACTGGCAGAAAAAAATAGTTCATCTCAAAGCCTGCAGACAGTACAGGCAATGCTCACTATGATGCAGGAAATGATGGTAAAAACCCACAAATTGATAGTGAGGAACCATGAAGATATGAAAACAGAGATGAGAACTGAAATAGGACAAGTGAAAAATGAAATACAAAATTTGAATAGTAAGATTGGAAAGATGCAGGAAAAAGAGATAAAAAATGAACAGAAATTAAATTTAGTAGAGGAAAGAACAGAGATGGTGGAGAAGAAATTAGAGGATTAAGAACAAAATTGAAAAGAGCTCTACTGCGAACTCCGGGATTTGATGGTACACATGGAATTAGAGAAGGCATCATTTCATCTTAGGTTCCAAAATGTGGTGGAAGACAAAAAGGAAGATTTACATGCAATTATGATGAATCTGATAGCGGCGGCTTTACAGAAACCCAAACTGGAAATTGAAAATGATGTAGACGAGGTCTACAGAGTATATACACACTATGCGAGGAGACATAGACTACCCCGAGAGGTTCATATTCGATTTGCGAGGAAGATAACACGAGACCTGCTCTATAGTAAGACCAGAGATGAACCACTTGTATACAAATATCATAAAGTGGTTACACTGAAACAAATACCTAGGAGAGTCAGAGAGCAGAGAAGGGGCTACCAATTTTTATCAACTCAGCTTATTAGAAATGGTATTCCATTTAGGTGGCTCACCCCAGAGGGGCTTTTAGTTTCGTGGCAGGACAAAAAACACAAAATTGATACAATTGAAAAAGCACAGGAATTTCGTGAATGACACCTAGGACCCGAGGAAGAACAAGAAAGTAGAGATGACCTAAATACAAGAAGCCAAGAGGAACAATCCTCTGGAGAACAAGAATCTGACTCACACTCTGAACACTAAAATCTTAGAGAAGAAGGGGAAGGCAACAGACTAAAAAAAAAAAGAGAGCCTAGAACAAGAAATGAAAAGAGAAATGCCTCACACAGTCAGTGACACTGGTAGAGAAATCACTTTATTTTCAGTCAATATCAATGGTTTAAATCTATCATCAAAAAGAAAACAGATATTTGAGAAATTTAAAAAACAAAACACTGACATAACTTGTATCCAAGAAGTGCATATTCCAGACAATCAAGCAGACCTCTTAAAGAATATAAATTTGGGTAAAATGTACTCGGCACTTGCAAACAAAAAAAGGGGGGTATTGTAGTATACGTAAAGGATTGGTTGCAACATAAACAAATATACAAAGATCAAGAAGGGAGAATGCTTTTTATAGAAATAAATGTAAATCAGAAAAAGATATTATTCATCACAATATATGCCCCGAATACAAACCCAAAAGACTTTTATAATAGGCTTCACCATAAGATAATAGAATTTGAGTATGCTAATGTATGCATTGTAGGAGACTATAATGCAGTCCCAGACAAAAATAAAGATTATAGAACTTCAAAAAAAAAAAAAGGAAAGAAGAATACGCCCTTCGTCTTTTAATAATATGGGAAGAGAACTTAACTTGAAAGATGTGTGGAGAGAATTAAATCCAAATAAAAAACAATATACCTTTTTTTTGAGCCCCCACCAGTCTTGGTCCAGAATAGATCAGATATGGATAGACCCTGGGTTAATGGAAAATATTGAAGGATCGAGATTTTGCCAAATCTATGGGCTGACCATAATCCCATTCAAATTAAATGGAAAGGAAAGAGAAAAATTGGAAGAAGGACATTTAACAATACCATATTAAGAGATAAAGAATATATTGAAATGATAAAGAAAGAATTGAATGTATTTTTTGAAATAAACAAAAGAGAACATACCTCTCTACAGAATCTTTGGGATATGGCCAAAGCCTTTGTGAGAGGTCTAACTATTGCTTATAGTATTAAAAAGAATAAAGAAAAAAGACAGCAACAAAACATATAGAGGGAGAAACTGAAAGATTTGGAAATAAGTAGACAAAAGGACCCAAACAATTCAAACAATTCAAATTGATCTGGTAAAACATAAAATAAATTTAAATGTACAGGAAGATTTGGCATGAAAAATTAAATTAGCAAAACAAAATTACTTTGAAAACGCAAATAAGCCGGGGAGGTGGTTAGCCCATAAAATTAGAAAAGAACAAGAAAAGAGAACGATCGTAGCTCTCCAAGATCAGGAAGGGAAATTATGCACACAGACCCAAGAAAAGAAAGAAATTGCTAAGGAGTTTTTTATGAAACTGTACAAACAGGAAGAAATACCAGAAGAATCTATTGATCAATATTTGAATGAAAAGAATTTGCCCGAAATTACTGAT